AACATGATGATTTTTTTTGTCAGCGGTTATTTAGTTAAAAAATAAATAAATAAAACAAAAATAAAATTGAACGCCCTGTATCTCAGAAACTAAGCGTTTTAGGACCCATATATATAGGAACTTTTAGACTCAAAATGAGGTCTTCTACTGATTCCTGAAGTCCTGCTATTTAAATGTGAGACACCCTGTATATAGGAACTTTTAGACTCAAAATGAGGTCTTCTACTGATTCCTGAAGTCCTGCTATTTAAATGTGAGACACCCTGTATATTGTTTAATTAATAAAATAAGTTTCGAAAAAGTGACAAATTATTTTGACATGTGTTTTATGTAAGAACGAAAAAGACTTTGGCGTTCTAGAACATAAAAGTATTTTGCAGGTAACAAAAAAGACTCACTTTGCCAACAGAAAATTTAACGGAAATGTCGACTTTTGATGACAGTTTTCGAAAAACAATATTAAAAGATTGCGCTGTATAAGTTATTTTACTTACCAGTGTGCAAAATGAAAAAACAGAGGAGGAGAACAATTTTTTGCATTGTTCTTGCTATTTAGAATTTTATTCAACTGAGCAAATTTGTTTATTACAGCATTGTAGGTCACAGGTCGACTGTTTCTGACGTAGTTATCAAATACTGATTAAAAACTAAAGTATGCCAAATGTCCGAAAACTAGGGGCGCAAAATTCCAGAAAGTGATTCTACTCGTAAAGATAATGGTAGACACGAGTTCTTATGATATTTTACTTTATCTTAATGTTGAGCACATTTTCCCTATATTCCAATAGTATACTTAAAATAAAACTACTCAATTTAATTTTTTTTCCAATAGTTTGTACCTAAATTTTTTCTCCTTTTCTGGTTTAGAAGTCAAGTGGCAGCTGCCACTGCGTATGTACAGGGTCTTACAATTATCTTTACAACAGACTTTAAATTTTATAATTCCGCCCAATACTTTGAAAAAAATTTACATTTTAAAATTCAAATTATGTTTATTTGCTTACTTACTACTTAGTTGATTAAATGTTCAAACTGATGACCGCCCGCTTCCATACAAGAATAAAGATTTTGTTCGAAACGTTCACACACATTCCGAAGCATTTGCGGAGTGATTCGACTGCATTCGTCGACGATTCTTTGACGCAAATCTTCCAGCGACGCTGGCTGTGTTTTATAGATTTTACTTCTTAGGTATCCCCACAAAAAGAAATCAAGGAGCGATAAATCCGGTGATCGTGGAGGCCGCTCAATGCTGCCTCTTCTCCCAATCCAATTCCGTAGAAAACGTTGGTCCAAATACTGACGGACAATTAACGCATAATGCGGAGGAGCACCGTCCTGTTGAAAAATCAAATGATCTTCATCATACTCTGGAACATTTTCAATAATATCAGTCAAGGCGGGGTCAATAGCGTCTTCCAGTAATTGCAAATACATTTGGCCAGTCAAATTACCAGGTAGAAAAAAGGGACCCACCAGCCGGTCACCCAAAATTCCAGCCCATACATTTAATTTTTCCGGTTGCTGTGTATGCACCTCGTGAAAAACTCTTGGGTTTGAATCGGACCAATAGCGGCAATTGTGACGATTTACCGTCCTGTTCAAGAAAAAACTGCATTCATCAGAAAAACAGATGTTAAAAGGGAACTGTGGATCGTTCCCTGCTCGCTTACTCATTATTTCGCAAAATTGCAAACGGCGGTCATAATCATCCTCATGAAGTTCCTGAACTAAATGTATTTTGTATGGATGGAACTTATTCTTCTTCAAAATGGTTTGTAAGCTAGTTCGACTGATCCCAGACACAGATACCAGCTACCAACCAACGCTTCCAAATAATGCTAGAAAATAATTTGGAAACCACTAATTTTACGTTCATTGTGTGTGTATAGCATTCATTTATGTTTTTTACAATTGTGTTTTTTTACGAAAGTGATAACAAATCGCCAAAAACCAATGTAACGCACTAAATTTATACCACTGGCGTACTTAATTCGAATGACTGACATTTTTACCGTTACTAATAATTGATTGTACATAAGTTTCAACTTCAAAATCAAAATTCTTAATAAGTATTGGGCGGAATTACAAAATGTAAAGTCTGTTGTAAAGAGAATTGTAAGAGCTTTCAAAAGAAATATTACTCAACCCCCAATGCCGTTTAAATATTTTGGGGTGATGCTTACCCTCGTTTGGGGGTGAAAGTGGCGGAGTCAAAAATACCAGCAAAGAATGTCCCCCTTTAATCTAAAATGGACGGGTCTGAGCGTTTTTCTACAATCTTGACGCAGTTCCTGAAAATGGCTCTGTTTCGTTTTGATTTGGCCACCCTGTATATTAATAATTCTTGGTTTTATATTTACTGCTTCCCCGAGCTTCTTATTTTTTACAACATCTGACCCTGAAGCAGATATGTAACCACTTCAACTAACACTCTATATAATACAGCAATAAACCTTTCTTATCATACAAGTGGTATCAAAAATTAAAACAAAATTCACAAAATACTAACATAAAATTCAAAATTGGTAGACAATTTACATTGTTTTCTAATTTTTATTTATAAAAGAACATAGTCTGATATAAGTACAAGATTTGTGAAAGAGTAATTTATCTAGACGATTTTTTTTAAAACGAGTGCAATTAAGACCGTGATAAAGCCAAAGTTAATTTTTGGAGATGAATTGCAGAGGTCGGTCAAACAAACTGGGCAGTTTACTGGATATCCTTCGTGAGTTGGGCACACGAGGAAGGGTTTGTCGCCCCTCATTTCGACTACCACGCACTTCCTCTGCACTTTGGCTTTGTGAGTCATCGCATCTAAAAAAAAATAACAATAATTTACGAAAATATGATCCGGTACCTCATATGGGCGTGTATCTGGTATCAGCAAAGAGCAATTCAATTATTTTTTTATATAACCATAACCAACCTATGTAGTCCAATTTCAGGCAGGCGTTTTGGTAGCCTGGTAAAAGATCTTTAGCTTCGCATTCTCTCTCGTCCCATTTTCCTTTGGAACAGTCTGTTCCTCTGCATCGGAAACACTTCAGTCCACTGGCTAATAAAATAGTTGTTATTAATTGATTGAGATTTGAGAATAATATTCAGTCACACAATTTTTATAGAAACACAATGTTCATGAAAAAAATGTATATGGTGTAATAATTTGTGGTGTACAGGGTGTCCCGTATTTCATTGGACATTAGCTTAAATCAAAATAAAGCGCTTGGGCCCAACATGCCTTAGCAAAATATTATTTGTTTTCGTTCTACAGGGTGTTTCCTCAACTTTCTTTCCAATTATTGTTTTGAACATCTTGAAAGCTCTTCAATTTCGATTAAATTTGGTGTCGTAATACAAAAATGGTGTCAATTTCACCATTGCAGCTAGACGACTCTACCTACAAGAACATTGGTCCATTAACATGGCCATAACTTTTTTGTCCACCCTGTATGTACATTCTCGAATAACAATAATGAAATGACATTCAATTTCACACAAAAAAAATATACTTTTCTGAATACTGTCAAAGTGCCGTGACATTGGCTAAGATTCTTTATTAACCACTTAATTATTTTCGCAGAGCAGCGCAGCGTTATTTCAAGCTTTATCCGGATAGAAAGCAATCAAACCATAAAACTTTCAAGTCATTGTACTATAGATTAGGCTAAACTGGCTCATTTCATCTCAAAAACAGGAATGCGGGAAGACCGAGAATAATTGATGCGGATAATATGGATGAAATTGTAGTCCGTATTGCCAAGAAAACTTGAATAAAATAATCAGACGATGTATTGTCTAGTGAACATTTTCAACATATACAGGGTGTAAGTAGTTTCACTGCCATTACTTTAGCATGTGATAGAGTAATCATAAATGAACAAAGAAGTTGTATATTACAGAGACGTAAGATTATCTGTTTTCAAAATACAGCGAGTATTAATATTGGGGAGTTTCATCACAATGTGACAATAGCGCTTAACCTAATGTTACACAGCTGATGCACACCACGTCCTACGAAATGACAAAAATGTAAACAACTATTGTGAAACATTTAGTAACTTTCACAGCACTTGTTTTCCAGTTTTTAAATAAATAAAATAACATTGATAATTGAATAATTGATACCATTTTCGTATTGCGCATGCTGAGTAATAACACGATACCAAATTTAATCGAAATCCGTTGAACAGTTTTCAAGATATTCCAAAAAATAATTGGATAGAAAGTTTATGAAACACCCTGTAGAACGAAAACGGGTAACATTTTGCTAACGCCAAACGCTTTATTTTGATTCCAGCTATCACCCCTTATAGTCCAATTAACTAAGCCTTTAAATCGAAATTTTGTCAACTTGGCTGAATTTTTGATATGAGTTAGTTTAAGGTATATTATAACAATAAGTGAGAGTAATTTTTTGTTCAACCCCCGGCCAAGGGTGGAAAAAGATAAAACAAAGGGCTTTTTCAAGATAACTCAAAAAGGGTAAGAGCTAGAAAAAAAAGTTTTTCATGAAAGTTGTAAAGCAGACAATTCTACATAAAAATGGCCTCTTAACTTTTTCTTGTACTATTACAATTAACAGAGTTAGGGAGGCTAGAAGTTAAGGGAAGATTTCAGAAATTTAAAAAAAATCATAACAAACAGAAAAATGATTGAATTTTGTAATTTTTTTTTTCAATCTGCTCTAAAATATGTAACTTTTCTTTTCAGAGAAATAGATATATTTTTTAATTTTTAATAAGAAAGTTATAACAAAAAATCAAATTTTTAATCGTTAATTTTAATGATTTAACAAAATTAAATTTCTGAAATCTTCCCTTAACTTCTAGCCTCCCTAACTCTGTTAATTTTAATAGTACAAGAAAAAGCTAAGAGACCATTTTTATGTAGAATTGTCTGCTTTACAACTTTCATGAAAAACTTTTTTTTCTAGCTTTTACCCTTTTTGAGTTATCTTGAAAAAGCCCTTTGTTTTATCTTTTTCCACCCTTGGCCGGGGGTTGAACAAAAAATTACTCTCACTTATTGTTATAATATACCTTAAACTAACTCATATAAAAAATTCAGCCAAGTTGGCAAAATTTCGATTTAAAGGCTTAGTTAATTGGACTATTACATAATGTCCAATTAATTATGATTCTGTAAAATATTTTCTAGAAAATTTACAATTTAAAAAAAAAATCAACAGTAATGTGGTGTCAAAAGCTACACTATACAGAAGTTTTCTTAGAAAATCTATGAAATTTGAAGATTTTATTAGAATTTATTGAAGACAAGTTGTATATATTTTCTATACAGCGTGGTAAAAAAGTTCTGCATAAAATTCATATTTTCGTTAAACAATTTTTTTTTTCGAAAAACGGTGATACCCGTCGGTTTTTATTTGATCCAAGATACCTTGTTATATGTAAAAAAATTTTTTCGATAATCCACTTACGGCAGCGATGACATAATTTTTTTTTAAATGACCGCTTATTTTTTTCGTTCGAAATTGATGACAGTGATAATTATCTAAATAACTGTCATCAATTTCGAACGAAAAAAATATGCGTTGTCATTTAAAAAAAAAATTATGTCATCGCTGCCGTAAGTGGATTATCGAAAAAAATTTTTTCCACATAACAAGGTGCCCTGGATCAAATAAAAATCGACGGGTCTCACCGTTTTTCGAAAAAAAAATTGTTTAACGAAAATATTAATTTTATGCAGAACTTTTTTACCACGCTGTATAAATTACAGTTAATACTCCAACAATTATGTAAATATAATGTAATTTTTTTCCGTCTTGGTTTTTGCTTATTTCGTCGTACAGCTTTTTAAAATATGTATTTAATTTTTTTCATGTTATGAAGAAGGCACTGAATTTGTGACGAGACTTTTATTTTGATAATCTAACATCGTCTAAGTTGGACTAAAAAAAACGAATAATTTATTATTTATAGAATTGGATTCTTAATCAGTCTGAGGTCATTCTCGAATGATAATGTTTTTAAAATAATAATCTAAAATATACAATCTAATAATACTCACCGGTGTGCAAAAGTACTAAGCAGATGAAGAGAACAATTTTTTTCATGGTTTTGTCGCTTAGAATCTCATTTAACAGTGGAAATTTATTAATTGTAGCACATCAGGTCACAGGTCGACTCCTACTGTTTTGAAAAGAAAATATGTTTATCAAATATTGATTTATATTTGTTGTTTGTGTATTTTGATATCTAAAAAATAACAGGGCGTGTTTAAATAAAAATTCCTTTAACACGCTCTATAACTGAACGAAACTCTGATAAATCGTGAATTTAAATTAATCTTTTCGATCTTGGAAACGGAAAGTTCGTTAAAAATTTCAAAACTTTTTGCGAACGTATTGCTTGCCTAGTTCAAGAACTCCAACCACACAGGCCTTTTCCAATTCTGCAGTGAAGATCCCAAGGAATAAAATAAACTCCTAAAAGCTTCCATAGTACTCACAGAAGTCCTAGAAAAGTTCTCAGAAACTTCCAAAGCATCTAGTGAAGTTGGCATGATGAGCGAGAAATCTGAAATTCCTCGTTAAAAATATCGGTTCTCCCTAAACTGGAGGTAGTTCCCTTGTGGATGACGGAATTAGACATGGCGCCCGGCGGGGGTCCCGATTATCCGATTTTTTCTAATCACAGAATTAAAGTTATCAAAGAAATTTGACATTTAATTTTTATAATAAGCGATTACATCTTAAGATTCATTACAATAAAAAAACATCGTACTAGGTACATACAAACATATAATAAAAGTAAACAATAAACAAAAACATTTTATAATTATAGTCTTTCCCATCTCAATTGAAAACCATAGAGCTAGGCAGTATGTACCGCCGCTACGCAGCTAATCGGCATTGAAATATTTGAAAAACTTGTTCCCATATTTATTTAGCCATACCCATATACAGGTCTGGTCGAACTAAACGTGGAGGTGGCAGAAATGTATACACCCAGTTGAAGAATGTGCGCGCGGGCAAACGGCGCACAAACACAGCCACACTGGGCGACCGACCATAAATCTCAGTTGGTGACAAATTGCCAAGCAGTGCAGTCCAGTAATATATTTTAATGAGAACGTAAATGTTTTTTGATATGTCACAACCAACATTTACCATCAATATAATAAAATTGTTCGAGGACATAAATAATTAAAATATGCTGTAGGCCAAATGAACATATAATAAAAATTTTCTACACATTATATACAAATTATTATTATTTTTTACCATTAGCAGAAACGTTTTTTAGGAACGCATATGAAACTAATTAAATTTTATTGCTAGGCGTTTTTGTACATGTTCAACGGACTTCGGAAAGACTATATCACTTTACATATACACGGCTTGCAGGACGCTTGGTTTGTTTTTCAAAGCATCATTATATTTCGTACGAATCATACAAGCGAAGGGGTGGGGTGATATTTACAAAAGTTTGGGCGCCGCAATCGCCAAAGCGACACCCCATAGTGCTATAAAGCTGAAACTGATGCTTTTCGCAGAATTACACAAGTCAGTTAGACACATATGACACTCAGTTTCATCGCCGAACATTTTACAGTTGATGGTAGGTTTTCCGTTTTTGATCTCGGCGAAATCGCATTGCCTGTGCACCTCCGTCGTCTGTAATGTTTGGTCTGCAAACAGATAATATTACAAATACTAAAAAGTCATTTTGTATGTATTTACTACATAAAATTATATCTCTAAAAAGTCTTTATTTATTTTATTTATAAACATAAACACAGTAAACAAGGAACAAGTACAAGAAATGAAATCTTATGGCGGTTTTCCACTAAACGGAAAGTTGAGTTTATGTCCTGTTTGTGTTTTCTAGAACCTGAAAAACAAAAACAAAACTGAAACAAACCCAAAACTCTTGTTTCCATCAAGCGGGCTACATTTTGTTCGAGTTTTGTTTTTGTTTTCGGTCCTTTTCCACTGGTTGTCGCGAAGAAGTCAGAACACATTTTTAGAGGTTTAGAGAAGATTTTTTATTCTTAGTTATGGCTGGTTTATACTGAAGTCCTTGGAAAAAAAGTAAGTGTCTACAGAGTGTCCCACTTCGAACTCCATCGATGGATATCTGGGAAACCGCTCTAAGGATTTTTTTGAAATTCTGATGGTGTGATGCGGACCGTGAGGCCCACCAAGTTAAAATATTTTCAAGGTCATCGTACTTCCGGTTATACCGGAAGTCGATACTAACTTTCTTATTTTAAGTGGAACTCCCTGTATATTATTGCATTTTTGGAAACATCATCCATTTTCAAGTTGAAAACATAGCACACTCCATACTTAGGATTGACCGTTTCCGAGATATTTCGATTTTTAAACAAAAATTGACAGATGCAGACTGTCAGCAAAATTTAGTTTTCTCGGTTTATTTTTTTGTGCAAATTGGACATTTTGTAGAGGAAGACCTACTTTATCGAATTTGACATGAAAATTTTCCAGTCTTTATACAGGGTGGTCAAAATTTTTTTATCGAATATGAAGTTCAGAAAATGTGGAAAACTCGAAATTTTTTAAATGGAAACCTAATTTTTTTGCAATAATATATAAGGGGTTCCCAGATATCCATCGATGGAGTTCGTGGTATATGTACGGTTAAAGTGTTTACTTGGTTAGTTTGTATCCTAGCCAAGTAAACACTTTAACGGTACACATACAGGGTAGCCCACCGAAAACGTACCGCATGGCATTACACGGTAGTAATGAACTTTTCGGCAAAATCCAAAAACAGGTAAAGTTTGCTTCTGAGGGGGACAACTTTTGGCGCAAAAAGCATAGCAAAATATTCAACCCCCTAAGTGGTTGTGCCATCCCCCAAATTTTTTTAAATGGCAATGGGGATCAAGTGGGGGGTCATTAGAAAGGGCTTTTAATTCTCTATACATCGATTCTTACTTTTTGAAAATCGATCCATTATTTTAGAAAATATGCAGCTTTGAAAATACGAACAATATTTTTGACGAGAAATGCGAAAATCGATTTAATTTTACTTCAAAACTTACGGTATTAGNGTAGAAACCTTTTGATGTGACCGCTTTCGAGCGGGACCCGAAAAACAAAACTCCAACTGTCGCAAAACACGCCAGTCTTCAAAAAGTTTGCGAAAAGTTTCAGTTTTGTTTTATTCGACACAAGTTTGTGTTTTGTTTTTGTTTTGTCCGTTTAGCGGAAAACAGCCTTTTTGAAGCGGAACCCGAAAAACAAATCTCCAACTGTCGCAAAACACGCCAGTCTTCAAAAAGTTTGCGAAAAGTTACAGTTCTGTTTTATTCGACATAAGTGTGTGTTTTGTCTTTGTTTTGTCCGTTTAGTGGAAAACCACCTTTACAAGTCTACAAACTAAGATAATAAAATGGTAATCAACCTACAATTGTAAAATAAAGCAATTCTTTTTATCTTGTACAAAAAATGTCTACTTCGCTCTAAAGGTGGTTGGTGTTGCAAATAAAATATAAAGGAGAAATTCGTGGGAAAAACTTTAAAATATTGGTTCTAAAAGTTAACTTTTTATTTTCTAAAAGATTTATAGCTTAAAAACTTTCTACAGAATATACAGGCTGTTACAAATTCGCTTCCCACTACAGGAATCTCAGAAATAGTTTAAATAGCTAGATGGATTTCACAGGGTCTAACAACACTTACAGTGTACGATAATTCAATAAACAAAGAAATCTAAATAAAAATTTAGATAAATTTGGAACGAATACACTGAAGATGAATTTTTCAAGACAAAACGACTGAATCTGGTTTGGGTTGAGGCAGTACAGTATTGGGGATCATGAAGGCTTGTAAAAAATGTAATAAAATTTCTAGGGTCGTATTTGAAAAAATGAAGTTGATGATGATCCTGGAGAGACGAAACGTTACATATAAAAATTGATTATGCCATTCGATAGAGGTCAAAAAGTGGCCATGAGAAAGTGTTCTTATTTTTTCAATATCACTTCAAACAAGGCTGAAATGAAACAAAAACGGATTTCCAAAATTTCGGTTTTTTTCAAATATTTCGAAAACTAATCATGTTAGCCTTGATTTTTTTAGAGGCATAATGTTGGTCCCCTGATTACGCAACTTTGTCCCCCTTTTAAGCTAGTTTGTATCTCTTACCGTATTCGAGATCCCTGTAGTGAGAAGCGAATTTGTAACAGCCTGTATACATTGTCCCACAGTGACGAGACATTGGACATATTTCAGAGACTACGATTTTAATTTTGAAAATTTGGGCAATAGTGTTTTCGGACATGCCTTTCTCAACTAAAAGAAGAAAGAGAGTAATAAAACCCCTAGATAAGAACCGGCCATGGGCGTGCTAATATTTCGTTTCAGGTAATTATCGGGTAACACTAATGCTAACAGGTAATGGGTGTACATTAGTATACTTTACTGGATACATCATAGGGCAGGAGCCAGTGTATTGTGACAGATCAATCCAGTCTTAGAGCTGAATATACGAAGACGTGCTAGTGCAGTAGAGTAAAATTCGACTTGTGTTTAGTGACTATTGTGCCAGTGGATATAATATTGTTTGGGTAAAATGTCGAGCTTATCAGATTACGTACCTGCTAAACGCGTGAAAAGATGTGCGCTGTCTCAGAATGAGAAGATTATTATATTAAATGTATTTAATGCATTGAAACACCAAAATCCTACCAACAGTGTTGACGACATCGTGGAAAAGTGTTCCAAAATGACAGGGATTGGAAAATCGACTATCTACAGACTTTTAAAGGAAACAAAAAATGAACAAGATACTGTAAATCCCCCAAAATCATCTACAGGGAGGTCAAAAGTCGTTATAGATGATTTCTTCAAAAATGTCATTCGCAGAAAAGTACACTCATTTTATTTTAAAAAAGAAATACCAACGCTAAACAAAATTTTAAGTGAACTTTCAGAGGACAACGATTTGCCAAAAATCAGTAGAAGCAAATTATGGGCCGTCTTACGAGAGTTGAATTTTTGCTGGGAAAAGCAGAACAGGAAGTCAGTTCTTATCGATAAAGATGAAATTATTTGTTGGCGAAGATCCTACTTAAGATCAATTAGAAAATTCCGTGACGAAGGGAGGAATATTTATTATCTAGACGAAACTTGGGTCAACGAGGGATATACTGTAACAAAAGTATGGCAAGATAAAAATGTAAAAAGTTTTCGACAAGCATTTTTGGATGGACTTTCAACAGGGTTCAAGGCACCTTCAGGTAAAGGGCGAAGATTAATAGTGACACATATAGGTAGTGCCAGTGGTTTTGTAGATGGCGGTTTACTTTTATTTGAATCTAAAAATACAGGTGACTATCACGAAGACATGAACGCAGATGTTTTCGAAGAGTATTTTACACAGATGTTGGATCTTATTCCTCCGGGGTCTGTAATTGTCATGGATAATGCCAGTTACCATTCACGGCAGACCGAGCGGACGCCTACGACTGCTTGGAGGAAAGCCGATATAATTCAATGGTTATCCGGAAAAAACATTTCTTTTGAAACAAATATGGTGAAAAAGGAACTTTTGACACTTGTCAATCTTAATAAAGATCAGAAAAAATATGTTATCGATGAAATGGCAACAAATCGCCAAATAACGGTACTACGGTTACCACCTTATCACTGTGAACTTAACCCAATCGAATTAGTCTGGGCGCAGGTAAAAGGAGATGTAGCGCGAAATAATACGACGTTTAAATTAAGTGACGTGAAAATTTTGTTAAAAAATTCCTTGGAACGAGTAACTGCAGATAACTGGCAAAGATGTATACATCATGTACAAAAAGAAGAGGAGAAAATGTGGGAACTCGATAATTTAATTGACGTTACTGTGGAACCTATCGTTATCAATCTAGGAGACGAAGATAATTCATCAGAATATTCAGAGGATGAATTTTAATATACCTACTTTTTTATTTTCTTTATTGTACATTTATACAACACTACATTTACTCACCATAATTTGAATTTTCAAAATACATATATTTTTGTGTGGAATAAAAGTCTATTCATTAAATTTAAATAAATATTTTGATAATAATATTGAATAATTTTATTTGAATTACTAAAAACCCTCTTAACCCGGTTATGATGCTTAAAGTAGCCTCATGTTTTGAAATGCTGTTTTTATATTGTTTACTTATAAGAGAAATGGACCGAGAAATTGAAGCGGCATAGACAAAGACGGATTGTCGGAGATTAAATTTTAGCTACCTGCTACAATTTAGTACAGTCCGATCGCACAAAGTTTTGTTAAAAGTAGACCTCATCTATACCGATAATACATAGGTAATATAAAAATATTGAATATAAGCACCAGTACTACATTTATCTACGATTTGCATACATAATGAGCTTTTATTACTCTCTTTCATTCCTAAACGAACTATAGATGTCAAATTCAAAGAACTACTTACACATCTAACTACTACGATATTACCACACTATTAAAAGTGTTGTGATTAAATGTGTTGTATACCTTTAAAGACGTATTTTATGCAGACAGGTTGGATATTTGGTTCTGCGTAGCCAGGGAATTTCGCACATGTCATTTTAACCCAGTATATCCTGTCTGTGCGTGTACATGCAACGTACGGGCAAGTGAAGCATTCTAACGCAGAGGCTATAATGAAAAGTGAAAAATATTTTAACCATATTAAAGAACTACGCTTTATAAATTATGTCACTTACCAGTGTGCAAAATTGCAAAACAGAGGAGAACAATTTTTTGCATTGTCTTGCCTTTTAGAATCTTATTCAACTGAGCAAATTTGTTTATTACAGCATTGCGGGTCACAGGCCGATCATTTCTGACGTAGTTCAATCAAACTAAACTATTACTCCAGTCGAATTAGAGTTTGACCGTGAAAAAATATTAATAGACATTTTATTGCACTTTATGACGGGGGATGATAATATCAAAAAAGTAACTCGAAAGAAGTGACGCTAAGTTAGCAAATTGCAAAAATGTTGCAAATTTACGCGTTTTTTCACTTTTAAGCTGCCCATAAAAATCTAGACGACCTATCGGAAAATTAGTAATTTTATGTTGTAGGCAATTTAAGGTAGCTAAGGTCATATTTCACCAATTTCAGTGATTCTCAACTTATCCAAAAAAATTGGGAATAGATGCGGCATGACAAATGGAGTCCATATCGTAAAATAAAAATTATAAAATCCTTAGATTATAGAAAACAATTATTGAAGTTGCACACATAAAAAGGTATCTTTAATAAATAAACTACAAATTTCTTTAAAAGCAATTGTTTCTTATGAAGAAATATTTATTTAATTTGATCATATATCTTTATTTCAGTATTACTCATGTATTTGGAACAATTCTATTTTATGTTTAGAAAATGTATTAGAATCAAAGATACATCCTAAATTTAAACATATAATATAATGTATTAAAACAGTAAATTATAATGTAAAACAAATCAATTTCTTTAAAACAATCATGTTTTAAGGTTGCATCTACATTTTGGTTATTTTAATTTAAATGAACTTATTTAAAACAAATAAATCATAANAAGCGGAAGATAACGAAATAACTCGGGAAAATCCCCAAATAGTGGGACCGGTTTTTGTCGAAAGTATCGAAACAAACTCAGAGTTTAAAAACAAAGAATTACACGTAAAAAGTCAACGTATTATATTAAATATATATGAATGTTTGAATATTGGAAATCTGGACGCTCTGTACATCGAACAGTAGCAAAGCATAAAACTTTAATAATTTTAATGTCGAAATATTTTTTTCAGATAAAATCCTGAACATGTTTGTTCATTAAAAAAAAAACATTCCCTTGTTAGTATATTCCACATTTATTTACAAATATTTATAAAACTTCACTGTAGAAATTTATTTTTTAATTCGAAATTTAAAATTATCAAATAAATTCAATATTTAATTTCAGTAATAAACAATTATTTTTATTTGTGTGTAGTATTTTCAACTATTACATAGCTGGACAACTGTAGTCTGTAGCTCATTCGTAATACGCGCGAAGAGCCACGTGGCCACAGCGATTCCGAATACTGAAATCCGATTTTACAGTCGTCGTTACCATAGTGTTTACAATAGTTTTTTTTTAGTAGTTAGTGTCAAAAATGACTTGCGTGGATAGCAACTCGGGAGTTGATGGTTATCGTTTTAATTTATGGTGAAGCATTATTTGTGTTATGGTGAAACAAGACAGCATTTTTGTGTTAGTTCGTAGAAACTGAGTAAGACGGACCCAAATGTGTTTACACGTCGCGTCGGTGGACAAAATTTTGAACAGTTGTAACATAAGGTATGCGAAATTATTTTATTATTTAAAAGCACAAATTAATTTTATTAATAATAACAATAGCTGTAAAATCATTGGATTTTCTGATATAAAATAGGTGCTACAAAATTCTATTTATTCTTTACCTTGCGAAATTCTTTCAAGTTTTTGTGCGTTTTTATCACTGCCGCCCGTCGTGACGGTCGCATTGTGCCAGGTCAGATTTTACAGTGGACCAGTTTCCAGTGAAGTGCGGAAGTGTATTTTTAAATNAGGTGCTACAAAATTCTATTTATTCTTTACCTTGCGAAATTCTTTCAAGTTTTTGTGCGTTTTTATCACTGCCGCCCGTCGTGACGGTCGCATTGTGCCAGGTCAGATTTTACAGTGGACCAGTTTCCAGTGAAGTGCGGAAGTGTATTTTTAAATAATTTTCGAACTGCCTTTTTTTGATTTTTTTTTACAAAATTGTATCTGTAAGAGTCCCCTGTACATCCAGAATTTTTTTTTTGGATAAGTTCTGAATCATCCTGTATACTGATAACAAAGTATATAATAATTGTTAAAATTCTAAGCTGCAAAGGAATTAAATCTCTATACTGGAAAATTGATTTGATCACAAATTGTTTGTTTGAGCTTGAAAAAAAAAATGGCTTGATATTATAAATCATTAAAAAATATTAAACGTAAAACGGTATTTTTGCTCCAAGATGAGAGAAAGTTTTTGCAACCCTTAAAAACTATAAAATTTTAGTACCTACCTGGTATAAACGAAGACGAATGGAATTTAAAGAGAAAAGAAACTTATATTTTATATAATCATAAGCATTTCAATCTGCTAAATTATATTTAAACGTATTATCTAATCTATAAAAATCGTAATCGTTTTATAGCAATATATTAATTTTTAATATAAATAACTTTGAAATTATCTAGCTTCGTTAAAGTAGTTTTCGAAAAAGTATCATTACTTGTATAGTTGTTACGATGTCAATTGGAACCTGTAAATCTTAAAGCACAGCACTTCTCCTGAAATTTCTGCTTATGCTTTGACCATGATGTGTCTCGTAATTTATACTCGAATAACAATCCGGCGAGTCCGGTATTGGTAAACTAGTCCGCCTGATGTAGAATTGACGGCGGCGCGCTCGTCATCAAAGCAACCTTTATTGGTCCACTAGGTCGTAAATATTTTTTTTTGTATGGTACACGAGTTTACTTAGCTTTGCCGCTTTGCCAGTGCCGTGCAGAGCATTGCTTGGCGGGGTATGTTGTTGGTATAATACGTATTATTATTTATTAGTTGATATTCTTATTTGTTCATATCGTAACCAGTAAAGGGTAATAGTTATTAAAATAAATGTTATATGTAATTATCTAGTAATTTAACGTGGCTCTCTGGAGACTCTTTGAAGCGGAGGATAACGAAATAACTCGGGAAAATTCCGAAATAGTGGGACCGGTTTTTGTCGAAAGTATCGAAACAAACTCAGAGTTTAAAAACAAAGATTTACACGTAAAAAGTCAACGTATTAAATATATATGAATGTTTGAAAATTGAAAATCTGGACGCTCTGTACATCGAACAGTAGCAAAGCATAAAACTTTAATAATTTTAATGTCGAAATATTTTTTTCAGATAAAAATGTTTGTTCATTAAAAAAACATTCCCTTGTTAGTATATTCCACATTTATTTACAAATATTTATAAAACTTCACTGTAGAAATTTATTTTTTAATTCGAAATTTAAAATTATCAAAGAAATTCAATATTTAATTTCAGTAATAAACAATTATACCTCAATTTACGTTACAAAAAATATCGTACTACGGACATTCAAACATATAATAAAAGTAAACACAGTTAACGAAGACATATACACGGCTTACGGGCCTTGAACACTTGGTTTGTTTTTCAAAACATCATCCATTTCCCACGAATCACAAGCGAAGGGGTGGGGTTATTTTACAAAAGTTTGGGCGCCGCAATCGCCAAAACGACACCGCAAAGTGCCACAAAGCCGAAACTGATGCTTTTCGCAGAATTACACAAGTCAGTTTGACACACAGGACATATGGGTTGGTCACCGGCATTTTGACAATTGTAGCTTAGTTTCCCGTCTTTTAAATCGGCTACAGTGCATCTTCTTTCTACCACCATCTTCTGTGTCGTCTTGTCTGCAAACAGAAAACGTTACTAATACTAATAGGTCATTTTATATGCACTCAATACATAAAATTATAAAGGGTGTCCCAATAATCCATATAGGTGGAGCTACCACAGATTCTTGTGATCAAAATAAGAAAACTAATCTACCTCTTTCCTAAGTCGCCTTGAGGGTATCAGAGTTGACAAAAGAAATTTTTTTCAAATAACTTTGAAACTTTTTTATAGATTTTTATTCCAGTCGAATTAGATCATAAAACCTGTAAACTAGATTGATAATATCAAAAAAGTAACTCGAAAGAAGTGCAAATTGCAAAATCACTTATGTTTTAATTTTTTTCACTGCCCATAAAAATCTAGACGACCTATCGGGAAATTAATCATTTAGGCCAGAAAGTTGGACGCGACTTTTTGTTTCGACAAGCTGAATTTATCACTATAGATGCTAAATATTATGTACAATAACATATTATAGTAGGATCGTATACGATGCAAAGTAGAGCAAAAAATTGTCTACCTTTTATCAAAGGAAAATCGTGTCATCATTTTTAGGAGGCGTAAGATAAATCATTTCAAATTTAAAATGTAATTGAATGTAAAATCTGAAATACCGCTGCATACTGGTAGTAGCTGTAGTCGCCCAGGTGCATCGAATGTACGAACTGGTCGGTTATACGGCAAATACTAACCTGGCGAGCTTTGCCATCAATTAGAGAGCGCTTCCAAAAAACAAGTAAACAACAGTGGCGCGTACAAAGGTAAAATGTAGTACATATGTGGAATTTAGGAAACAAATTGGATTTATAATAAATTACATTTAAAATAAATAGTTTATGAGAATAAAGGAATTTTTGTAGCAACAAGGGTGCCAGACCTGAACTGATCCCCTCGTCCCTTCATAATGTATAAAGAAATTATTCAATTTGTAAAACCCTTAAA